CGCAGCTATCACAGAAGCCGGAACAGCAAGAGGGATTGCTGCTTTCACTGTGCAGCGATCCCTCTTGCTGTTCTGGCTTCTGAGATTCAGAATTTTTCTTCTTGTTTTCCTCCTCCAAAAACTAGGTGCATCTTGTGGTCTGGTGCGTCTTATAGAGCGAAAAATACAGTATTTACTTAGAACACTTTTCACCTCCCCTTCTCCACTTTCTGGTCTCGGGTTTGTTTCGTTGTTTTGCAATGTTCCTTCTATTATTTCTCATGAGAGGGGAAATATAGGTGCCACTTCCAGAGCTGTTGTACATTTCACTCTCTGTATCAGGGGCATGTAAGGGGATTGGGACCCTCTAGATGAAAGCATTATTTTTTTTCTTTTTAGGTCCTCAGCATAGTATTTTATTTTGTTCACATACACTATGCCATAAGCTCATATGGAATTGGTTCCAGCAGCTCTGGCTCCCTTGCCGTTGTTTCTCACAAAGTGGGCGTCTCTTGGGGGAGCAGGCTGGCGTTTTAGTTCAAACCAAATTCCCTTTTCCTTTCCTTCTATTTTCTTTCTTTCGTTTTCTTTCACACGCTGCAAGAAGCTGTCTCTGCTCTTTGAGTGCTTAATATGCTCAATTCGCACATTAATTCTCTTGGCCAGGATCTTGCCCTTAACTTTCTTGTTCACAATAATGTCCACAGCATGCTGGACCCTCTGGATGAAAGCATTCTTTTGATCTCCCCCCCCCAGGCCACCCCATTTTATCTTCTGCAAGGGCCACTGAGGTTTGTGTGGCAGCTGGGAGGGGCCCTAGGAGGTTGGATCTCCTGCTCCAAGGCTAGACCCACCACCCTCTCTCTCCTCCCTTTCTCCCTACCCTCAAAAGAGGAGGTTGGTACTATCCTATGGGCACTGGGAGACCCCACCCCACCTCATGAGCAATCTAAAGGAGCAAGCCAAACTCCCCGAGTCTGGTTGAGCTTTCTAGTGTGGCAAAACCACAACAGCATTCGTTGTCTTTCCATGCATGATGGCCAAGCCCAAAGGTGTGGGGCAGGAAAATTGCTCCAGCAACCTGGAGCTATTGCACTGATTGGGCCAGAACCAGCTCTGGTGCTATCATGCCATGGTGATTGTGCTGGCTTGGGATCCAGGAGATCCCAGGCTGGCTCAGTCCCAATCTCCCCCCTTCTAAAATCCACATTTGGTTGTTTTCTTGTGGTTACCACCTGCAGGGATCCCTTTGGTGTGACACTGCTTCAGGTGGAAGGGAGATTTTCACTCCACAGGTAGCAGTTGATGAGAGGCCAATGGAGGTCTGCAGAGCTGATGGAAGGACACCTTCACTTAATCCATCACTGCTTCCTGTGGGTGAGCTCTCTAGTTTAACCCTGCTCTGTGTGAAGAGTCTTGTTTTATCTGTCCTGAATTTTCCAGCATTCAGTTTCCTTGGATTTCTATGAATTCTGACATAACGAGAAAGGGAGAAAAGCTTTCTGCTTTCTCCATTCCAAGCAAAATTTTATAAACTTCCACCGTGTCACTTCTCACTTGCCATTTCTCTAAACCAGGGTTCAGCAAACTTTTTCAGCAAGTAAGGGTATCCTGTTAAAGGGATCTGGGGTGTGAATTCTGTCTGAAGCCTGGACGTGGGCTAGGGCCATGTCACAGCCCCCACAGGGACCCCTCGGGATGCCCCTATTTGATGTAAGTCATAGAGCATCAGTGGTTTACCCTTAAGTGGGCTCCCTGCAGATATAGTCAAGATATAGCCTGACTTTACCCCAATGCCTAAGCCATGGGTAGGCAAACTACGGCCCGGGGGCTGGATCTGGCCAATTACCTTCTAAATCAGGCCTGCAGACGGTCCTGGAATCAGTGTGTTTTTACATGAGTAGAATGTGTCCTTTTATTTGAAATGCATCTCTGGGTTATTTGTGGGGCCTGCCTGGTGTTTTTACATGAGTAGAATGTGTGCTTTTACAGTCATACCTCATATTGTGTTTGCTTCAGGTCAAGCAGTTTCAGGTTGCATCCCGCAGTGACCCGGAAGTACCGGAAAGGGTTACTTCTGGGTTTTGCAGCTCATGCATGCGCAGACATTAAAAATGACATCACAAGCATGCGCAGAAGCAGCGAATCACAACCCATGCAGATGCACAGACACAGGTTGCACTCTGCTCAGGTTGCGAATGGGGCTCTGGAATGGATCCCGTTCACAACCAGAGGTACCACTGTATTTAAAATGCATCTCTGGGTTATTTGTGGGGCATAGGAATTCGTTCATTCCCCCCATATAGTCCGGCCTCCCAGAAGGTCTGAGGGACAGTGGACCGGCCCCCTGCTGAAAAAGTTTGCTGACCCCTAGGGCCTTAAGCCAAACCGCTCACATCTGTAACCAATAAAGCTGCGGCCTGTTTGAACCCATAAACCAAAATACTTCGCGTCCGTGTGCTTTATTGTTTGCCAGGGAACTTTGTGGCTCAGGTGCCTTAGCACGCAACAAATACTATACATATACACATACAACTTGGGTGATCGCGATCAATCAGGAAGAGTTGACAGGTTTTTATTCAGGGAGTGGCTGGCATATGTTTTCTCTTTGGACATTTAAAATCCCTCTCCAGATAGTACATTGCTTTAGTAGGGTTATTAAATTTGCCATTTTGGGTCAATGGGAGTCATTCGTAATCTGGTCAGATTCCTAGACACTGTTAGCAAGGATGCTGAATGCACTCTGAAGCAGTGCTTGCCAAGTCTATTTTTAACAGCTATCTTGGGCTGAGCGACAGAGTTAATACACCTGCTGTTGGACAATCAGACCATGAGCTATGAGGTAGTCTTGGTGCAATGGTGTTGCAGTCATCAGAGGTCCACGTTGGATGTTTTCATTTGACAGGAGTTTTTTCTATATACTGTGGACTGCATGGGAAATTTCCAGAGACAGCTGCTGGCTGCACCATGTCACATCTTTTGCAGACAGGGTTCCCAAAGTTGGAAGGGACCCCCAGGAATTCATCCCCCCTGAAATGCAGGAATCACAGCTAAGTTATCCCTGGCACATGGCCACCAGAACTCTATTTAAAATCTCCAGCGGAGTGAATTTTAAGAATGGGGGGGGGGAATGAGAAACCCAGAGAACTGAAATGGATAGATTTGAACAACCCAGTGGGTTTGCATGGGTCTGCAGCCTAAGCATTCCTTCTTCCAAGCCCTCTCCCCTCCTCCCCTGCAACCTTTTCATGAACTCTGAGCACATCCTGCTGACACTGAAATTTTAGTGCCTTGGTGGGGACGTGACCATGAACAGATCACCTGGGGACTGAGGAGTTTGGCCTTGCTTCAGTTCCCAGCTCCTTTGACTGTCACCTTGACTGATTTTTTTGATTATTATTTTTTGTACTGTACCCACAACTGAAAGCAAATACGAGGATAAAGAGTGCCTGAATGCTGGAACTCAGCAGAAAAGAGAGCAAAGGACTCTCTCTCTCTCTCTCTCTCTCTCTCTCTCTCTCTCTCTCTCTCTCTCTCTGTGTGTGTGTGTGTGTGTGTGTGTGTGTGTACATGTGTGCCCTCCAATGTTTGCAGTTCATCCAGGCTGCATAGAACCAAATAGAATGAAAAATTAAATAGGGGATCCTGCTTACACTATGTATTGGAGGAAAGGGAGTTTGGGCTCCCATCTGCATGCAAACCCAGTGACTCTGCAGTCCTTAATACATAAAGCAAAGCACACCTATCTTTTGAAATTTGCACCTCTTTGAATTTTAGGACGCAGTCTTCCAACAACAACAAATGCACACTGGAGAAAAACCACAGAAAGTTGCCTTACTCCAGGACAGACCGTTGATCCAGCTAGCTCAGCGCTGTCTGCACTGACTGGCAGCAGCTCTCCATGGGTTCAAGCAGGGTTTCTTTCCCCAGCCCTACCTGGAGATGCTAAGGACTGAACCTGGGTCTTTCTTCATGCAGAACAAATGCTCTTATAAATGAGCTGTGTCCTTTCCCCTGTGGCCATCCATATCCTCCAACATGCTGGGAGGGTTTTAGCAATCTTAAAGGTAAAGGTGAAGGGACCCCTGACCATTAGGTCCAGTCGTGACCGACTCTGGGGTTGCGGCGCTCATCTTGCTCTATAGGCCGAGGGAGCCAGCGTTTGTCCGCAGACAGCTTCCAGGTCATGTGGCCAACATGACTAAGCCGCTTCTGGTGAACGAGAGCAGCACACGGAAATGCAGTTTACCTTCCCGCCGGAGTGGTACCTATTTATCTACTTGCACTGGTGTGCTTTCAAACTGCTAGGTTGGCAGGAGCAGGGACTGAGCAACGGGAGCTCACCCTGTTGCGGGGATTCGAACCACCAACCTTCTGATCAGCAAGTCCTAGGCTCTGTGGTTTAACCCACAGCGCCACCCGCTGTGGGTTAAAGATTAGCAATCCTAGGGCTGCCATACATCTAGATTTTCCTGTGCATTTCTGGGATTTCAAATGCGGAATTGACGTCTGGGGGAATTTCTGAAAGGCAGTGCTTTGTCCTTTTGTCCTGAATCTTAGGCAAGTAAAAGCAAACACAACACAACACAACAACTTTTAGGGTTTCCTAAAAAAAAAGCTGAACAATTTTGGGGGTTTCCTAAAAGCTCAACAATCCGGGGGTTTTGAAATATGGCAACCCTAAGTGCAACATTATTATTTTTTCTTTTACCCAATCAGTATTTTTTGACGTTTCCAATGATTTTTAATGGATCTCCTGTTCATTTTACCCTTATATGTTGTCCTCTGCCTTTCTATACATTTCACAAAGATGTGAATTATAAATTTTGTAAATAAATAATTAAATGTGCCACACCAGGTTTGCCAGGCTGCCGGTCCACATGGTTACAATCATCTGCTGGTGTGTATGGCGGTTGTGAACCCGCCCACTTCCCCAGCAATGTAGCATAGTGACTTCACCTTGAAGTTCCATCAAGATTTTATTAAAAGGTCTTGATGACAAAGGAGCCGCGGTGTTTGTACATCAATGTATAGGAGTTTTTAAGGTGGTGCTAACCAGATCATTGCGTTAATTCACACCTCTTTTATTTCATCAGGTGGTTCATCATGGTCTCCATCGGCACCATTGTCGAGAACTTCCACCCCGAACTCAGGGTCTGGTTCTTCCGGAAACCCATTTACCTCTTTCCATATGGAGTACTTCATATCCCAGAGAGCTTCCACCATGTCCCAGATGACCGCTTTTTCTTCCTGGAGGTCTTGGTCATTATCCCTCAAAGCTATATACTCTTCCCAGAGGGCCATTTTGTCTTTGGATATGGCCATGTCCTCTTCCCAGAAGGTTTTGTCCTTCTTCCAAAATGCCTTGCATTCCTTCCAGAAGGCGTTGTTCTTCTCTTCAATGGCTTCTATCTTTTCCTGGATGGATTTGTTCTTCTCACGCATGCCTTTGTTGGCTTCCTGGTACTCCTTGTTCTTGATCTGGAAGGCTTTGACAGCTTCTCGAAATGATTCATTCCTTTCCTCCAAGGTAACAATCTCCTCCTCTATTGTCTTGATCCTCTGCTGGAGTGCCTCAATCTTCTCCTGAAAGGTCTTCACCTGGTCCTGAATTTCCTTCTTTTTGGTCTGGAAGGCCTTGATCTCAGCCATGAAAACCCTGCTCTCCTCTAAGAAGCTCTTGATCTCATCCATGAAGCCCTTGTTCTTCTTCTTGAAGGCATGGATCTCCTCCCACAAAGCCTTGGTTTTGTTATCTTCTCGGAAGGTCTGGATCTCCCTCCGTAGGCGTTGGCATTTCTTCCAGAATATCCTGATTTCCTCTTGAAGTGCATTTTTCTGTTCTCTCAGTTGGCGATATACGAACTGGCTCTTCAAGGTTCTGGGGATATGGTTCATATGGTGCCAGCTCTCCCGCTTTGCAGAAATGTCATTGCTGTTGCCCTCCAGATAATCTGCACATTTAAGAGTGACATCCGAAAGTTTCTCCCCGTCCTCCATCTGATCACAGCTGTGTACAGAGAAATACATGAGTGAGTGGCCTAGAAGGGGAGGTTGTGTTGCCCACTGACTCAGAGGATACAAACTCGGAGGAGACTGAGTCACTGCAAGGAACCTTACCTTCCAGCTTGGAAAGTGGAAACTTGGTTGCGGAGGAGGACCCCACCACCAGCCCCAGTTCACACTAGGCGGGGAGCGATTGGGGTTCTCCAATCTCAGACCCTGGTGAGTCTCAGGGTCCATTTGTGCAGCCATCACCCCAGGGTTTGGTTCACCTCTCCAAATGCAGGACCTTCTCAAGCCAGCCATTTCAGGAGGAAAGATCACGACAGGGGAATTCAGTGTTAGGGGCTGGTGCACAATGTATTGCAATGTATTGCTGGACCTTCCTGTTGCCACTGTGAGAACAGGCTGTTGGGTCCCTTCCAACCCTACAACTCTAAATTCTATGAAAAATGGGATTAGAGAAATCCATGGAGGATGAAGCCATCAGTGTCTACTACTGATGGAAGCTATGTTACCTCCTTTATCAAAGGCAGCATATATCTGAATACCAGTTTCTTGAGATCAGAAGCAAGAGAGAGCTCTTTGTGCTCATGTACTGCTTTTGGGCTTCCCAGAGGCTTCTGGTTGGCAACTGTGGGAGGCTTGATCCTGAACTAGATAAATCTGATGCAGCTGGGCTCCCTTGATAAAGCCTTGGTGGCTTTGAATAACAAAAGAGAGAGAAAAGAACTGTCAAGATGCCTTAAATCCCTCCAAAATAAGTAAGCCTGGGACGTCCACTAACCTGCACCTCCTCCTCCTGCTATGATGAAGACCCCTTTGTTAAGAACTTCATCGCCATGGCAGCCTGAGAATATTAACAAAACAATGCCAGAACTTCTGCAGTTCTTCTGGTTCCGTCATTAGAATGCCAAGGTTGTAGCTGATGAAAATGGAACATGGGAAGCTTATTTTAGCTTATCTGCAGTCACACCATTGGTCAATCTAGCTCTGTATTGTATACACTTACTTTCAGGTAATCACCAGGGAGACACCATGGATTGAAGCTGGGATCTCCTGCATGCAAAGTGAAAGCTCTGCCACTGAGATGCAGGATCCTTCCACAAGGGTGGATTTTTAAGAGACCAAAGGTAACACCACAATGAATGTGGAGAAGTGGCTGCATCAGGTATCAGAGAGTGGTGTAGTGGTTAAGAGCGGAGGACTCGTAATCTGGTGAACCGGGTTCGCTTCCCTGCTCCTCCACATGCAGCTGCTGGGTGACCTTGGGCTAGTCACACTTCTTTGAAGTCTCTCAGCCCCACTCACCTCACAGAGTGTTTGTTGTGGAGCAGGAAGGGAAAGGAGAATGCTAGCTGCTTTGAGACTCCCTAGGGTAGTGATAAAGTGGGATATCAAATCCAAACTCTGGTTTTTGCAGTGCTGGTGGAGTTTTTGCAGTGGGCAGAATGGGAAACCATAACAGGGTCACTAGCCATGGGTGGGCTTCAACCCTACAGCTGTGCAACAAAGAGTTTGGCACCTGCTTGCTTGGAACCATGTGTCTCCCTCAGGAACACCATGAGCCTAATTTATGAAAATGGATTCATTCTGCAGAACCAGTGGCGGATTTATGTATAAGCTAAACAAGCTATAGCTTAGGGCCCCACTCTCTTGGGGGGGGGTCCCCCAAAAATTTAAAGGAAAAAAACCTGGATGTACATTTCAAAAATATAAGATAAAAAACAAAATAAAAACTACGCACAGCAACAGTGTTTTGTGTTGTTTGAGCTCCTATGATGTAAGTAATGGGCCTTGCCTGCTAGCCTGCTCCCTAAAATATCACTGGTTTGCTCATTTCTATATATAGGGTGCCTATGTTTGGTACAAGGAGAAGACAACGACAGAGGGTAAGATGGTTGGACAGTGTTATAGAAGCGACAAACATGCATTTGATGAAACTGTGGGAGGCGGTGGAAGACAGGAGTGCCTGGCATGCTCTGGTCCATGGGGTCACAAAGAGTCGGACACATTCTGCATGGACTGCTTGCATGGCAGCATGTGCAAATGACTTTAGATACCTATTAGGTCCATAGATTGCCATATAGCATATATTCGACACACACAAAAAAGCGGCAATTTGTTGTTGACAAAAGACAGCTGGACATATAAAGGGCCCCATTACCTTCAGTAGCTTAGGGCCTCATCAAACCTAAATCCAGCCTTGTGCAGACCCCATTGGAAATTCTATTAACCAGAATGCCAATCTAAGTTATGTGAAAGGAACAAAGCTTAATCATTGGCTAACAATGGCCATTCTTGTGGAATTTGTCAGTAGATTTGATGCCAGGAGTGGGGGACGATTTCCCACCCAAGTACTGTTTTCTGTTGTGGGAAACTTCCTATGGGCCTCATACCAGTGGTGGGTGGAGCCAGGGGAAGATGTGGGTGGAGCAACAATTGTGATTCTACAGTAGGACAGAGGCAGAGGTAGGCACAGCAACAAATGGGACTTCAAATCCTCCAAGTGTCCCTATTTTCCAGGGGTGTCCCTGATTTAGAGAAGTTATCCCGGTTTCTGATTTGATCGTGGAATTTCCCGCTTTTCCTTAGGACAACCCTATTTTCCTTAGAGAAATGATGGAGGGTATGAAGTTATGCAACCCCCAAGCCAAGGAGATAAGTAACTACACAACCTTTAGAAGACATCTGAAGGCAGCCCCATATAAGGGAGGTTTTTAAATGTTTGATTCTGTTTTTATATATATGTTGGAAGCTGCCCAGAGTGGCTGGGTCAACCCAGTCAAATGGGTGGGGTATAAATAATAAAATTATGAAGGGATGTCTCTATTTTCATCAGAGAAAGGCTGGAGGGTATGGGACTGTAAAGTAGGCTACAATTTAGCCACACCAAAAGCCAGTGGTTTCTGCACACACACAGAGGAGAACATGTCTCTATCTTCCATTCAGGCAAGCAAGAGGTATTACGTAAATGTAACAATACACTCCAGCTAGGAATAAAGCACTCAAAGAGAATATGAAGCGGGGCTGGTGAGGGGTATGGTCTGTTTCAAGGCAAATCTTAAAAAATGTAGTATAAACACTGAACTGACAACTGGGAAACACTGACTTGCGAGCTCTCCAGTTGGAGAACAGCCTTTACCAAAGGTGTCATGGGCTTTGAAGACACTCGAACTCAGGAAACAAGGGAGAAACATGCAAGGAGGAAGGCACCCTTGGCAAATCCACACCGTGATCAACTCCCGCCTGGAAACCAATGTTCCCACTGTGGACGGATGTGTGGATCCAGAACTGGCCTCCAAAGTCACTTGCGGACTCATTGTTAAAACCGTGTTCCTGGAAGACAATCTTACTTGGCTATGAGTCTTAGCCAAAGAAGAAGTAAGTCTGTGGAGAGTCCTGAGGATCACCATTTAGCCCCTGGAACTAAGTTTCTCCATGCCTGATTGATTAAAAGGTGCTGAGCGTTGACAGGAGACTCCTCTTCCTCTCTCAGAATTACAATTTCCACAGTGGTTTAGCAGTCAATACCTCTTCCTGGGGAACTCTGGGAATTGTAGCTCTGGGAAGGAAACAGGAGTCTCCAAATAACTCTCGACACACTTTAATAAACTACACTTCCCAGGGTTCCTTGTGGGAAGCCATGGCTGTTCAAAGTGGTATGGTACTGCTTTAAATGTTCAGTGCAGCTGGAGCCTGAGTATAAATAATGAGGGATAAATTACATTGTTGTGTGCATAATTCTGTGGATGAGATTTAATATACAGAAAGCAATGGGTGATGGATGCTTCATGCTATAGGAAAAAATAACAGAGGAGCCCTGCTGGAGCAAACCAAAAGCTTATCTAATCCTGCATTCTCCTTCCTCAGTGGCCAATCAGAAAACCTTCAGGGTGCACCAGCAGGTTTTATAGAGTAATAACTCTTTTCTACTCCTACCCCACCACCGCCAACCCAAGTTACAGGTATTCAGTAGCATTCTGACCCTGAATGTAAGCACTCAGTTTAGTGATCATAGCTGTCTCCTTTGTGGCTTTGACTAACCTTGTTTCAAAGCAATCTAAGCTAGAGGCCATTAAGTACCTCTTGTGCGAGTGGATTTCATAAAGTAATTCTGCATTATGTGAACAAATGCTCTGGCCTTTTGTCTGCCCAGATTCCGCCACCCCACAGCTTTGCAGAATGACTGCAAGTTCTGGAATTATAAAGAAGGGAGGGGGAAAATCTATGCCTAAAATCTCCCTTTTGTGCGGGAACATGTTAAATTTTATAAATCTCAGAACTGGCTCCCCTTACAAGCAAGGGATATTTGGCCCCTGTTAAAGTGAGCTGCTTCAAGCGGTCTATTCCGTTTTCTTTTTCTCAAATACAGCAGCATAACGGAAAATATAGAGGAGGGGAAACTCGCACAGCTCCAATTCACACACATTTCCAAATAAAACCACCTTTTAAAGGCATATGCTGAACCATTGTCTCTATTGCCGAATAGGTTACTATTCTCCTGAAAAGTCCTTTGTGGGGCCACAGGCCCTCAAAAAACTAAGAGTGAATGAGTTAAGTTTTTCAGAAGCTGCAATGGACAAAGCCTTATGAAGCCAGATGGTCATGGAATATGATGAGGGCTCCTTCCACTCTGCTGCTATGACAGTAGTTTATACCTCACCCATCCAGCTAAGTTTCCCAAGCCACTCTGGGCGGCTTCCAACAAAAGATTAAAAATACATTAAAGCACCAGTCATTAAGAACTTCCCTAAACAGGGCTGCCTTCAGATATCTTCTAAATGTCAGGTGGTTGTTTATTTCCTTGACATCTGACTGGAGGGCGTTCCACAGGGTAGGTGCCACCACCGAGAAGGCCCTCTGCCTGGTTCTCTGTGCTGGACCAGTACTTCTGTCTTGTCAGGATTCAACCTAAGCAGGCAGCCACCAACAGATGGCTAATGATAGATTTGCTATGAAGGTTCAAATTCTTTCCCCAAAACACATTCAAATAAGCAGGTC